TTTCCTCTTTCGGTGGTGGGTCTTCTTCTAGACTCGCCGCCTTGGCCCAGCAACTTCGCCGGTACAAGCCACCACCTTCTTCATCGTTCGATGAATCCGAGGAGATGCAAGCAGATCAGGAGAGCGTCGGAAAAGTCGTTTCGCAGGTTGGGTTTCAGGAATCTATAGCTCCGGTTCCTAAAGACCCCGAGAGATTCAGACCCAAAAGAGCGGCTGTCTTGATCTGTATCTTCGAAGGAGACGACGGGGAGTTACGAGTCATCCTCACTAAGAGATCTTCCAGATTGTCTACTCACTCAGGTTTTTCATCTGATCGTTTTGGTTTTGGTTTCATTCGAGTAGAATTGGATCAACCCCAAATTCACATGGATAAAAGTCTCGTCTTTGAACTTGGAAATTGTTGATCTTACTAGTTTTGCTCGATATTCTGAAATTGGTTGGTTTGAGATCAGGAACAGAGTGAGAATGGGATTAAAGGGGTGTGTTATTTGGATGCAGGAGAAGTTTCACTGCCAGGTGGTAAAGCGGAAGAGGATGATAAAGATGATGGGATGACTGCAACCAGAGAAGCCGAGGAAGAGATTGGATTAGACCCTTCGCTTGTTGATGTTGTCACTTCTCTTGAACCATTTCTGTCTAAGGTATTCAAATATGCTCTTAGTTAGTTCTCCTTGTCTTACTGGTGATACATCTTCTCAGTAAAGGTCAGAATTTGGAATTTGAGATTATAGACTATATTATTGATCTGTGCATGAATGAACGTCAAAGCTAGTATGAGTTACTACTGGCTCTATTTAGCTTTGATTCTGGAACCTCCATTTCAGCTGTAGTACATCACAGAAGCAGTGATCTGGCTAAAAGTGTCTTTCTTGAACGCCATCTAGTTTTTGATCCTGAATATTCTTTCAGTAGTAGTCATGTTAATATGGCAGAATCATGCCTTTTTGTTGTAGTTTAGGCTCTCTGGAAAATGCTTTCTTTTCTTTTCGTGAGGTAAGAGATGCATAATTCTCCATATCTGGTCGGTATTTTTCTGATATGCGCCTCATTGTCTTACAGCATCTCCTTAGAGTAATTCCGGTGATAGGAATCTTAAAGGACCGAAAAGCATTCAATCCAACACCAAATCCTGCTGAAGTGGAAGCTGTGTTTGATGCACCCTTGGAAATGTTCCTTAAGGTTCCCCCTTTTTTTTTTTTTTTAATCAAGTTACGTAAGCTACAGCTGTGTTTTCCCATCTGAAGCATCATTGTTCTGTCTTTTTGTCCAGGATGAGAACCGGAGATCTGAAGAGAGAGAGTGGTTGGGCGAAAAGTATTTGATCCACTACTTTGACTACAGAACAGGAGATAAGGATTATATGATTTGGGGTCTTACTGCCGGGATCTTGATCAGAGCTGCATCTGTGACTTATGAAAGGCCAGCTGCTTTCATCGAGCAGTGCCCTAAGTTTAAGTACCCTAAAATGGTAGAAAAACATAATTGTATGCCTTGA